GAGTTTGTGTGTGCTCTTATCCATTGGTAAATACGAAATATCTCCCTCTTAGTCATGAACAAGTATTGAGGAAGGATTGTGTATGGAGAAGTGATCAGTGTGGAAGAAAAATTCTACATGAGGTTTTGACATGAACCAGTGGTAGAAATGCCTAAAAACTGGATTAAAGCTTCACTAGCTTGCTAACATTGAGCAGTATTAAGAAAGAGAAGATACTTTCAATATAGGACATGGTGTGGTAATAATGCTATGGAGCAAATTCTATGTGCTATGGTGAAATAAAAGTCAGGAAGAAAGTTAGGAAAGGGCAGTGGTGAGATTCCAGCTCTCTGGCTGTTTTATGGACTGAACAAGGCAATAGAATTTGTTGAAACACAGGGAGTGATTTAGGCAGGCCATATATTCATGTGTGGGACTGAAAGACAAAAGACAAGGTTTGTAGTATCAATGAAGATGGCAAATGGTAAAGTGAAGCTTTATAAGGCATCAAGAATACTTTCAATCCTTACCCTAGTGCTAAATGGATGTCTGGGGAGGACTACTCAGAAAGAGGAGCACATGGACCTCCCTATGTGTTCTGAGGTGAGGGAAATAGCATTTTCCTTTGGGAAGGCCGCTTTGGGAGGTCAACAGTGAGTGAATGGTAAGCTCAGAAATGCCTCAGAAATACCAGGTCTCCAAAAGAAAGGCTTACTCCAGTGCCAGTCAGAAGAGGACAGTGTTTCTCATCTGTTCCTCGGTAAGGAGGGGAACACAGCTGTCTGCCCTGCTCTGTCTAGAGACACAGACCTTCTCAGAAAAGGAGGAAAAATGTTTTCTGCTGAGATACTTAATGCTTAACAGCATGGCATAAATTCATCTCTCTCACACAATTTAAATTCAGCAGGCAAAGACAACAGGGCCCAAGTGGGCAAGTGTGAGGTATAGGAAAGATTTATGAAATTCTTTTGCTTTGGCGAGAATTGATGGGTGAAACTTGGTTGTTTTTTCTTTTGTGTTTGTCTTTTTGTCATTTGGTTTGTCTTTGTTAAATAGAATCACAGACTTATAGCTATGTTTGTGTTGGAAGGGACTTTAAAGATCATCTAGTTCATCTTGTCAGGGACAACTTCCACTAGATCAGGTTCCTTAAAGCTGCATCCAGCCTGGCCTTGAACACTTCCAGGGATGGGGCAGCCACCCTTCTTCTGGAGTGGGCAACCTGCTCAATTGTTTTACTGCCCTCATAGTGAAGAAATAGTTTTTGTCAAATTTATTGGTCTTTTACAAAATACACAAGACAGTACTAAACTGCTAAATTTATTTTAAAATTGCTTATAAACAGCTCAGATTAATATATCTATAAATTTTACCTCCATATAAATAGGCACATCATATTTATATTTTGTAAATCTCATTCATCTAAGTATAACATGAAATTATTGAGCTACAGGAAATTCTCTGAGACTGGGTTTGAGTACTATTAAAAAAACTGTAGAATACTCTTCTTCAACTATGCTTCTACCAGAAGTGTCAGGTAGAATGTGACTGCAACAATTTTACTTTGAAATCTTCTAAATGCATATGAAAATCCAGACAATAACCTCCACAATAAATTCCATCTTGCACAGGAACAAACACCAACATCCACTAAAATTATAGAAAAAGAGCATGACTTTAATATTAGATTTCTGTAATTGCAATTGTAAGAACCCTTTTGTACATCAACATAATAATAATGTCTGAGATTCCTACTCAGAAAGCACAGTTGCTCTCAAATCTTCTGTTCATTCCTTTAAAAGCAACGTCAACATGTAACAGCCGTCACTACTGTATATGCATCTCTCATCTTAAATTAGCACTTTGTATTATTGCATTTCATTTTAAAAAGGCTTTCCAACAACCTATCAGGTATTTAAAGAACGTACAGTACAGTTGTAATGACACAGGTTGCTTATTTATTTAACTGTTGAAAGCTTGAAAGCCTCTTTCAGCTCCCTGTATCTATTTCTATATGTACGAATTATGAGACCTTGAATAATGAACGTGTTATTTAAATCGTGCTCTGACACTACATAATGCTGAGAAGTCATTTTATACAGTTCACTATTCTCACAGTCAATGGTGCTTGACTTGATTACCAGTGCCTCATAGCTAGAGTAGATGTGGGCAATGTTTTAAATTTGTTAAAAATCGGTTAGATAAAATTGTCTTGAATGAAATAGAGTAGGTTGGAGAGCTTATTCCTTCCGATATTTTCCTAGGTGAGTCTTAATTGTCACGCATAAAATATCCACGATAAAGTAAATTTTTATATATTAAAAAAAAGGAAAAAAATTAAAAAGTAAAGAAACAGCTGAATGTTCTACCTGGCCTCTGCAAAATTATAGTGGAGGAGGCAAACCCAGCCCAACATCCTGCCTTACATTCCTAAAAACCAATTCACGACAACCATGGCTAAGGAAATGTTTTTACCCTTCATGAATAAGGAAAAGGTGAGCAGAGATAAGTTCTCAGCAACCACTAGCCCCTCATGGGTCAGCATACAAGGTCTATGCAATGATTAGTGTCATTACTGTAAACTTCTTCTTTCTACCAGGCAAAAGGAGATCACTGTGCCCAGTACTGGCCTGTACTACAGTACAGGCTGCTCTGCCTGTGCATCTTCACTGCACTGGGGTCTAGAAGGCGCCCTGGTACAGCTGCAATTTACCTAGCAAAGCTGGTTTTCCCCTCCAACATTGATTTGTTCAGTGACGCTAGTTTGACCCGCTCAGCAAAGCCACCGTGCGCATTATCATGATGCATCCACGTAAGAAGTGTTTGGCACGTGTATTCCTGTGTGACAAAGCACTAAGAGGTTAACTCACAACTTCTGGGAGCCTGGAAAAGGGCAGATTTTAACAGATGAGGGGGGAAAAAAGGCTTTCTGTGAGCCTGGTTTGCCAGAGGTTGTGTGTTCCTTGTCACCTGTGAGTAGGTATGGCCGGTGGGCACAGCATATGCTCCTAGCTAGCACACCGCTCCCAAACAGCACGTGTGCTGCAGCACCTGAGTCGTCTGCTTTTCCCCAGTGGAGGTCACTAAAGTGGGTTATTCTCCTCCACTAAAACCTGTAGGAATTTCACAGTTTGGAAGTTCCTACCTTTAGACTGTAAGACACACTTGAAAGGCGGTTCTGAAACACAACCATGTTTGGGATCAAGACAGGATCGAGCCGAAGTGTCACCGGAATTGGTTCATCTTCGGAGTGTGCCTCGATTTCAGTGAATTTGATGAGATGCAATAAAAATTTCTGTTGGAAACCTTTTGACCCACTGTCCATGTAGGTTACCAGTCTTCAGGTTTCACATCTATTTCTCAGGGCTGAATAACATGCTACCAGTCAGGGCTGGCTTGTATCCGTGTCACAACTCTTTTGCTTGTGCTTACATGTCTCTTTCTTCCTTTTCAGGCACATGGAAGAGACGTTGCTTGTGGTGCAACTGGTTTTGATACCCTCCCCCTCACCACACTTACACACACACTGAGGGTTTATCCATTCTCTTCGTTACATGAACCATGGATAATCCATGCGTTCTTGTCCCCACACCTTTTTGATCAGTTTAATATCTAATGAGATCTTAACCAAATGAAAAAAAAAAAGAAATCTTTATTTTGAGATACTAGAATTCTTGTGACATGGATTTGAAGCAGTTTATGATCAAACAGTATTTTTTAATTTGTCTTGATTCATGTGAAAGTAATTTGAATCCACATTAGTATTCTATGAACTGATCATTAACACTTTTCAACTGATTTAGTAAACATATATTGCTTCCAAAATAAATAGAAACAGGAAAGGAGTACAGTTAGTGTAGCTGAGGCATGAAAATATACACATTAAAATGCAAGGCAAAACTCCAGCGTTGAAATGGGGCAGCACATCGAAGTTATTTTTCTAGCCATGTTTTCACATCTCCAGAGGATGCTTAAAAACAATAGAATAAACATCCTAAAATATATCTTTTAATAATGCTGCTTTATACTTCTGATTGTGACAAATGAATCGGCACAGCTCCCCTGAAAATATCGGGTAGTCAGGAAAGACAACATGCTGAAAATAAAGAGCACATCCTCCAAGGAGGTTGGCTCTGTGGTGATTTGTGAGATATTCACACAACCCTTTTGGCATATGAGGCTTCTCTAGGGGCAGAGTCTGTGTCCCAGATGAAACCCAGGCCGGCTGTGGTCCAGAAGCCATGAAGCCACAGTAACCAAACCCATAGGCCTTCCTCAAAGCTGTCATTTATTCCTGTTCTCTCACCTGTTGCTGTGTTTCACTTTAAATAGAAGTAAGGACCCCTGAAAATGGGCTTTTCCCTCAGAAGCTGATGTGCTTCTATTAGCTACTGGGTATAAGGATGAGGGAACCCTCCATCTCTTCCTTAAAAGGAAGGTAAGGACTCATTTTGAGGGATTTGCCCAGTTAACTCACCTAACACATTCTGCTGCACCTATGATCTATGATAGAAGATAGAACTATGAACCTATGATAGAAGACTATCAAACTTTATGATCCTCCCAGGGCTGAGGCACGAAAAAAATGCTGAGTTGTTCAGCCTTGTTAACAGCAGGAGGCTTCTGAGGGTTTCCAAAATCACAGACACACAAAAAATTAACAGACTATAAGTACCTCTAGCTTTGCTGGCTTGAAGCTCAGAGGCTCTATTTCTTGCAAGCTCAGTCTATGTTCTCTCTGTAGACTTCAGTGTGATTTGCTAAATGCTATCTAACTAATACTTTGGATAAAGATGGGAATGGAGCACCTATCCCCCTGCCTCTGTGGAAACTCAATCTCCGTCAATTTGGTGAGTAAGGAGTGTTTATTGGTGAGAAGATATATGTAAAACCTCAGCTTGTACAACTTGGGCATCATCTCTCTCTGAAAGCTCCATAGTAATTCCTCTGTGAAAGCTGGAGGGTTTTTTGATGCAATGTAGCTCTCTGACAACTCACTTCGTGTGCAATGGCCGTGCAGAAGGGAGAAGGACATCATACTTGTATTTCTGAGACTTCTGGAGTGGTCCCCAGGCTGCTAAAATTGACACTGTTTCAGGTGTTTCAGGATGGTTGCTGACAGCAGCCGAGAAACATTTGGCACGGTGCAAGAAAAGAAGTGCAAAGGTGACAGTCTCCTTCCCTGGCTGGCTGGGCTGGTTCAGCATCCACCACCTGCCAGCAGACCCAACACGCCAGGACGGCCCCCTCCTTGTCTTTAGATTCATCTGGACTTGAAAGGTACTGAGAAGGTTTGAATTCAACCATATAACTCGTGCCGGGAGAGTGATTCAGCCTAGAATCTGCTTCTACTTAGGCTATTTTGCTGTAATATCTTATAAAAGATCTTGTAGGAATATAGTAAATATCTGCAGTGCCACACTTTGGTCTGTTTTCTCTGTCAAATCTCTCAGGGTCAGTCTTGTCACAGTAAGGTGTATTCCAAATTTTTCCTTTCTGCTCTGGTGCATCAGCGCTAATGGAGTATTCCCTTGCCAGAGAAATTAAGCACCTTATTTTGAAATTTTAAATTCTGGTTCCAGGTTAAAGTAAAGATTTTTGCAAATACTGCAAACACTAGTGCTGACTGGCAGCTATGTCTCAGCTGCACATATGGAAAGATGCAAATTTTTTGTGAAGAGGCATAAAGTGCTTCTTGAAGCAGAGATGTGAGTTTTCATCAAATGAAATGTGCACAGGGGGTCATTTTTAAATTTTTTTTGCATTACATTATAGAAAAAGGTTCATTAGAGATTATAAATAGTAATGATATGGACCACACTCTTGTGAATTCAGTTCTAATTAGAAATGCACTGAGCTACCAAAAATAATGCACCCAAGCCAGCTTCCTTAGGACTGCAGTTATCTTCTACATAAATGCATCTTTAACCAACAGCATATAAAAAGAGCAATGATGACATCCAGAGGACAGATAGTTTAATCATAGGTACTGTAGGTATCCTCAGCAAATTTCCTGGGGATATATCCCTCACCTACTTTTTCTGTTTAAAGTCTGTTCCTATTAAGTCAGTTATTGACAGCCTGCTGAGTTCCTTTAAATCACAGCTTTTATGAAAACTGACCTTGTAAAATTGAGTGTTTCACCCCCCCGTGCAAAAAATTATGTGTACATGGTAAACTTTTATTAGTGCAATCATTTTTGTGTGCATTATCATTCTATGCTATCATTGAATCCAACTGAAATGTAAAGCACTTTAAGCTATTGGTAACTTCAGGTTAATAGCTGTCTGGCTTACTTCACCTGTAAGGGCTCCTACCGTGAAACCTCTCCCTATATGTAGGTTTTTATCTAATCTGTCTTAGTAACCTTCCATACTCTGTCTTGGCAGGTTGTTTTTTGGTTTGATTTTGTTTGCAACTGCAAGAATATTGGCCAGGTGCACCATATGTAGAAGCCACTACATAGAAAAGCCTCCGAATTCCACTGAAATATCTATGGGTGGGTGTCTATTTTATTGACAAATTTGAAAGAGATACATTACCAATGTTAGTCTGTTAAGCACAGTTCCACAATCAGAATTTAATTGAAGCATGTTACCTATAATAGGTTCAGATATTTGTGTTCTTCAGCATTTTATGAATTCAGAAACAGATGGGCTATGACCAGGAAGCAGTGGAGAACAGACTGGCGTAAAGCAGGTTGGCTCTCTGACAAGTGCAGGTACAGCTGTGGTATGTATTTTATTCAGCATGCCCACCTACTGTATCAGCAGCCTGCCCTACCAGCAATTCAACTACAACTGACTTAATGAAGAGTAGAAGTAAGCATGAATCCAGACTTTCCATGGATCATAATATTTGAGAACCCAGAAGAATCAACATGATGGAAATCATGCCAAGTAATTTTTTTTTTCCTGCATCTTTATGTGTGAGAGATAACAAAAGCATTGGTGTTTTGAAGGGGGGGAAATATCCCCACAAAATGTAATCAGTTTATGGTATATTAAAATATTTCACTTTTGGTCTTTCTTAATTACTGCTTTTAAAATTAAATAAAGAAAACCTTAGCAAGTAGTAGCTCACAGCTTAAATCACCATAATTGTGCCAAGGAACATGTTGAAGAGCTGGCTAAGAGTGCTTCTGTTAGTAAAAGGGAATTTATATGGGTGACAGAAGGGCCAGTTCTTGAAGATTTCATGCAAGAAGAGTACAAAGGGTATTTTTGCTCCAGTTTGTGCCAATCTTTACAAGTCCTGTGGGGAAAGAAACTTCTGTGACTGAAGAGGTGATGGAAAAGAATCCTAGATGTGAGCATTCCTTAACTGGGAATGTGCTATTTGCTATTTTATGCATTTAAAAAATCTATCTCTCTTTGTCTTTTGGCATTCCTTAGCCATCTGGTTGAATAATCTTGCATGCCTCTTTATCTCTTTTCTCTATCTATCTAACTTCATATATTGTAACCTGCAATAACATACAGTAACCCACAAAGTGAATTTGGAAAAACAACAACCCATAATTATTTTATATGGTGATTGTCTGACTTGAAATATTGAGGTAATTATCAAGTTAAATTCCTATGATCCCTGCAATTTCTATGAAGCCTGGAGATGTCAGTACTTGAGTTCTGGCATAACTCTTAAAGTAAAATTATACCACCTCAGCCTAAGGTCGTAATTAAAGATGTAATAAAGCTAAGTGAAAAAGGGCTATATGATTTGAATTAAAAGCAGAACAATCCCCATAATTGTAGAGGGTGCAAAATTAAATTAACTGGCCACAAATTCCACCCTTCAGGAGCCACGAAGTGCCATCTGTAGATGGACAAGACTCTTGTTGATGCAGCTGGATGAAGGCAAAAGAGGAGCCCGGGATGTGGGTGCAGGAAAGAACCTGCAGGACCACTTGGTTTGAAAGATGAATGATTTCTTACAGAATGCAGTAAAGACTTAGGGAAAGCCTGAATAAGAGGGGGGGTTATAAATCTGACTCTGCTGCGACTTTTATTTGGGAGACTGAGAAGTACCACTTTGGTCTCTCCAAAGTGAGACTGTGGGACATGTTTGCATAAATTACTTTTATTTTCACCTGGATTTCTAAGAAAAACTTTAAACACAACTGAATAATATTGTTAAGAGTTCTGATGAGCAGAAGAAAACGCAACCTAATGTATATGTGTATATGCACCTCTATGTGTAAGCATGGATGTGGACTGGTGCTTACATTTGAAAATGAAATCCTGGAAGACTGTTTAATGAACATTCCACAGCCTTATTTTAGGGGTTCTTCCTCTGTTGTAGTACAGGGGTGGCAACCATCAGCATTCAAATGACAAAGACACGACTGGGAGTGCCCCTTCAGGGCAGTAAAACAAGGAGCTGCTGTTCAGGAATTCAGTTTCCCAGTGCAGTTGTGCTAGCTGAGCAGCACATGCCACATATCTTGCTTGCATCTTGGACTCTTGAAGGTTTTCTTTGCTCTCATTCTCTTGTCCAAGCTTCACATTTAACCTTTGAGGCAGTTTTGAATATATCCCTCCATAAATCATAGTCCAGTAGCACTAACCTCAGGCAGCTCTTTAGTGTTTTTGACTCCCTTCTCACACTGTTCCTCCTCAGGCTTCTGCTGGTCATTCTCATTTCTCTCCTGATGATTTTGTCACTTCTCTTCAATGTAAAACTCAGGGGATCTATGAAACTGTACACTGTGACCGTGTTTGTGATGTTGGGGCCTCTGCCTGATGCTACACTTCGCTTCATTTACCTTTCTCATTTCATTGCTTTCCCCATGTTCCAGCAGTGCTGCCTGCCCCCCTGTTCCTGCTATAGGGCTGACATACTGTCCATCAGATCCTGTCCCCTCCAGCCTCCACCAAAATATGTTACCTTTCATGTTGGTGACTCCCTCAAATACACTAAATCTTCTGTGTCCTTTAGAATTTTTTCCGTTTGGTTTTAAATGTCCCCCAGCTGTTCTTGTGCTGAAAAAACACCTCTGGACCTACCGATCCTTCACAAGCTTTTTAAAACCGTTCTCTGGTATTTCTTCTGTCAGCATTTTTACAGCATTTCAAGACTAGTTGGTGTCACAAAAGTGAAGAATATTTCACAGAGAGGATAAAATACTACAGTCAGTTCCATACAGGCTTAGTTCTGAAAAGTCACTTAAGTGAAGTGTGATGTTGAATGAAGGGAGTAAGTGATGGCTCTTGGAGATTTGTCCAGAAACAAAAATGCACCTAAGCTGTAGCTCAAATTTATTTGTTTTTTTCAAATGACTGGTAAAAAATAAGCTTTAGGTATGGCAAACCAAAAAAAACCCCAAACCAAACCAAAAACAAAAAGAAGAAAGAAAAGAAAAAAAAGAGTTGTAGTCCTGTCAGCTCCTGAGGTCCCATCCAAACACTGTCAGAAGGGACCCCATCCCTGAGCACCAGTATCTTTGCTGCTGAGTGCTCTGGATACTGGCACCCAGTTATGTTGGAAAAATATCCTTTTGCTAACGGAAGTACTGGAATATGGTCTCCTCCAGGTAGTGAGTTCCCAGGAATGCTGGATAAACCCCAGAGCAGTTTAAGCCTTGTCTCTTTTCTGAAGCTGGATGCCTCTGCCAGCCAGTCCCACGGCCATGCCACTGAATATCTGCAGCATGTGAAGAGTAGGAGTCAGAACTGTTCCTGAAAAGAGTTCAATAAGATGATTTGGAAAAGCTGCTTGATTAAAGGGGTCTAAGCATCAGAATTGCATTAGTTGAGTCCTGCATTATTTTCATAACTACAACAACAGGCACAATTCTGCCTTCAGATCTCCGTGGGTGTTTGCACGAAAAGCAGGTAGTGAGCTGAGAAATTTGGCTGAGGAAAGCACTCAGGTACACTATCGAAGAGAACAACATAAAAATTTAAATTAAGAGAAGATGAGATTCTCTTCAGCTTCAGAGTAGAGCAGACCAGGAGCATTTGTTAGGATCAGCATTCCATTTTCTGGTTCTCTGTCATCACCAGGCTGAAGGGTGTCTGCTCTCTATCCTGCTCTCTGAGGTGTCTACTCTATTGCTCCAGACTATCCAAAAGCTTTAGTGAGAGCTGGGAAAATTCAGGGAGCAAGTCCTGCGTCTGAAGCCAGTCTCTTCCACCTCCACACCCAAGTAAAAAGCTCCACAGTTTCTTTAGAAGAGAACTGAAGCTTTAAACTGAGGGTCAGTGAGCTACGCAATGCACCATTTCATCAGCTGACAGGCAGTTGTGGTTCTGAGCATGTCCCCCCTGCACAGGATCATTTCTCCTTCTGTTGGTAAATGGGGTGGGGTGCACTTGCCCAGGTGAAGCTGAGGCAGGGAGCAGACATGTTGTATTTGATGAATATTAATGTTCCTGAATACCTGGTGTCTTATGCTGAGCTCAGCAGCTGGGCTGTACAGGGACACTGTGGGTTTCTTCCATTCCTTGGGTAGGAAGCAAGTGGGGGTATTTAAGGTGGCCTGTTAAGGACTATCTCAAGGTCAGGGCAGAAAAAAGGTGTCAAGTAATCCTTAGGAAGAATATTTAGAAGCATGTAAGCAGAAGGCACAGGAGCAGAGAAGATGAAAGAGAAACCATAATGGGAGACAATTTTTATTGTACATACAGAGTAAAAGGGATGAGTTCAAAATCAACAGGGAAGGGTTTTCATGAGGCACTATGGTTTTAGTGGGGAAGATAACATTCTGGATGCTATCATGGAGTAAACTGAAGAAAGATGGAAGAAAGTAGATAATAAGGAAACTGGAACAGCAATACCATTTCCTTGTACTCCTTTTGGCTTTCAGTTTTTCATTGGATGAACAGGACAAAAGCAAGAGCCAGAGAAAATTCTGTAGGACTTGAAGTGCTCTGCAATGTCCCTGCTAGACAGTGTATATTCCTACTGGAAAGGGTGCTGGAGAAATAGCATCCTTTTTGATAATGACTCAGACCTGAAAGTGAGAATAATAGCTCTGACTCAATCACAGGCTGTTGTGGAGGGAGATTAATGCCAGGATACATGGCCAATTCTCATTTTTTGTGTCAATCTGCTTTCAAAATAAAGCACATGCCAGTTATTTCTCTTGGAAAGGAAAGAGAGAGAGCTGATATGAAACAGAGATAAAATCTGGAACATAATTAAACAGGCATTTTTCATATCTTTATGACTGTCTTCTTTCTCTTCCCTCTTATGCTTCTGTGTCTTGTTCTTTCTAAAACTATTGCAAGTGGGATGGATGTCGAAGGAATAGCAGCTGGTTTTGATGCCAAATAAGTACTTCATGTTTTATCTGATACATGGCAAGACACATTCAGGCATTTTTGTTGTGCATCTGATTATATAAGGCATTTTATGAATAGTCCATCATACAAAGGCATTATTGTTACTGTAATTGTCACATCTTCACGTCAATTTTCAATTCACTTTCTGCATTTTCCTCACATTTCCAACAATAAATACTTAAAATAATTATGATTAACCAGACTGAGATTACAGGTAATATTGCTTTGACTTGATGCTTTATTACAATAATTTTCCTCAAGACCTAGCAGTGTAGGTTGGCTTAGGATGGGGATAGGTACCTTTTTGTTGTTGAACTGATATTTCAAGTCTCCCTTCAGTTCAGAGTGAACTAGCATTTCTATTATCTCCTGGTTTTCTGGTTAATGGGGTGGGATGGTCCCAGTTGCATTCCTGCTGACCTGTCATAAGCGATGGTGGTTGGCTCCACTTCTTTGTTCCAGGTAAGGAGAGTAGGGTTTGAAAAAGTTTTAAGCCACTTTATGATACTGATATAACCCTCCAAGGTTCTCTTGCTACCCTGGGGTTGGGATAGTCCCAGGTGTAAGCAATGTTTTTGTCTAAGTGACACCAACTTGTC